GTTCCAGAGTGAAGTTGTTTTATTTTTCAAAGTTATTTTAAGTTACAGGAAAGCAAATTTCAGCTTCGCTGTGAACTGTAGCCGAAAAACTTACCAACCACAAAGAATGGTTTGACGATGCACCCAAGGAGCGATGGCCTCCCGATCAGTGGATGTGTGCAGGTGGACCCAGGACCAGCGTGTGTCTGGCATGCTTTCATTTGGATCCCCACCCAAAGGAAAGGAGTTTGACTTGAGTGCCGCTTCCAACTTGGATTCCATGATTCAACTCAGAGCACAGAAACATCTGGTTGGCTCTGTGGGCATTTTTTTTGATGTTGAGAGAGGTCCCTCTTCCAGACAACAAGCCTAGGAAGGATCATTCTTTAAGACGGTCCTCCCTTTCTTTGCTGAGGTTTGTCAGGTCTACCCTGGGCTATTCGTTCTGGAAAGGCAACAGGAATGGGAGACTCCAGGAGTTGTTAGCTGAGTGTGTTAACATGGCTGATAGGCTTTATTCAGCTTGATAAGTCACACGTTGCACAGGATTGATTTTTGCGGTTGTTTGTTGTTTGGGTATGGAACTGCCCACTTCACTGGAACTGGGCTTGTTGCATATATCACTCGAGCATACAACTTCCAATTGCTCAGGGATGCCATTAGCTAGAAACTTTAACAAGCCATCGCGTAAAAGTTAAAATACGACCATGGTTTTTCTTTGCTTTAAACTGACTGTCTTCTTCTTTGGATGCAGAGCAAACCATGTCCCCAGTGGGAAAATACTAGCTGTAAAGGTAAGTTTGTTCACAAATCTGCTTTAAAAGATTCCCCTGCCCCAGTCTTCTATTTCCAGGACTATTACATGAAGCCAATTTTTGCAATGAACACACATCTGGACCGAAGGGCACGATTTATAAGTGAGGAAGTACAAAGCAATCTCTTCTCTTTTTTTTCTTGGTAGTACAACTTGGTCCTGGGAGGAATACAGGCAGGGAAGACTTTTAATCTATTGCAGAACTGACAATGGTGGCTTTATATTAGCATTAAAAAAAAAACAACCTACAGATTCTCTACAAAGGGGGAAACGGGGCCTTTCCTCCAGTGCAGTTTTTAATTTGATTGTGTGATTATTTAACTATCTGAGGTCAGCGTCTCCATATATCCCATAAGTTTTCTCATCTTAGATGGTTAAATTGTGGTTTCTTCTCTTTCCTCTTGATTGTATTCAAAAATTAAGATTGTTAAATGCCTTAAGAAAAAAAGTGGGAGCTTAGGCTTTTAGGTCTGCTCCAGCGCTGATGCCTGTCTCTACAGCTTCTTTCTGTTGGAGAATTACAAATAATTCCCTGCCAGATTCTTCTTCTCCTCCGTCATGATGTTCTGGTAGAACAACAAATTCTTCCTAAAATGGCTTCCTCTTAAGATCCATTTTTCACCATCCCCGAATATTTTTACTGCATACACAACCACATTTCTTTGCTAAGCGAGACAGTTGTTAAGTGAATTTTGTCCCATTTTATGACCTTTCTTGACACATGTTTAGTGAAGCACTGCAGTTTTTTTAAGTTGGTAGCACAGTTGTTAAGTGAATCTGGCTTCCCCGTTGATTTCGCTTCTCAGAAGGTCGCCGAAGGTGATTAGGTGGCTCCAGAACACACACACCCTCATAAATTTGAGCCGGTTGCTTTGGTTTCTACAGACAGAAACACGGCTGTGCCCTGGGTTCACCTTTGTCCCCCATTGTGGCCAATCTCTACATGGAAGAGGTGGAAAGTAAAGTCCTAGACTCCTTTCCAGGAATCTCACCCACCCACTGGTATAGATACGTGGATAATACTTGGGCCAAGATTAAAACACAGGAATTGGAAGCCCTCACCAAACACATCAACTCTGTGGACAGGGACATCAAATTCGTGCGGAAAGATGTTAAGGAAAATAGTCTGGCCTTCCTGGACTGTGCAGTACCCACTAAGGAAGACAGAAGCCTTAATGCTGAAGTTTACAAAAAACCCACCCACACAGATCAGTATTTACATTTTGATTCTTACCACCCACTGGAACCCAAAATGGGAGTGATCAGAATCCTATACCACCGGGCTGAAGGTCTGCTCTACTAGCAAAGATGGAAAAGAGAAAGAGCTAAAAAGCATGTCCAGGAACCCTCAGAACTTGTAGAGCAGTGATGGCGAACCTTTTTGTTGTGGTGTGCTGAAAGCACGCATGCAATAGCGTGCTGACACCCATAATGCAGTGTGCCCTCACAAACATGCATGTACGAAACACACACAGTTGGGAGGGTGCCAGAACTCAACTAAGACTTGACAAACCAGAATAATTTCATGCTTTGCTTCCAGCAACTTTGCTGTGCGTAGTTTGCCTTTTTAAACAGTTTTCCCAGCTGCCGCCAATGAAGGGGATCAGGGCCCTTTCCTCCCCTGTAAACCACACAACTCACATTGCTCCCTTATCCATTCCTCCCTGCGTGCCCTAGGATAAAGAGGGGGTGGGCCTGGGTCTTCCTCTAAATGCCCAACTGGACTGTGCCCTTCCCCGGTTTCCTCCACAGCCACCGGAGCCACACTCCCACTTCCTGTCAGCTGTTCCACCTCTCCCTCAGAATCAGATTCCAACAGGAGCATGACACCTTTAAAGCAAGGGTCTCCAACCGTGGCAACTTAAAGACTTTACGGACTTCAACTCCCAGAATTCATCAGCCAGCAAATATTCCCTATTGCATATACTTAGGTCCAGCTCTTTGACAAAGGAATAAATTATTTCCATTATAGACAGCAATAAAAAAGAAATGCCCTGCAAATTGTGTTAAAAGTGTAAGAAATCAGGATGGAGGGGACCCCAAAAGTGGGTTTGTGGCCAAGTCCTGGCCATCTTCTCCAAGGCCTCCATCCCATCAAGACTTGTTAGATGCCAGAGAGACTGAAGCACCAGCCGCCCAATCGGTGCACCGGGAGCAGTGCGGCTGTTTGCCCGGCTGCAGTTCCTGGGCGTTTCTTCTGTTCTTAACTAGCATTTAAATGGTCCATTTGATTAATCATTTGTATACTGCCTATCGAACTCCCAAATTTCCTCTGAGTTGTACATACTGTAAAAGACAATTATATTGCCGCAGATTAAATAAGTGAATTAAAATGGAATTGCGGCTTAATTTGACCTGTGATTTTGCTCTCATTCCCTTTAGTGGCACACGCGCAACTCCGGCAAATAGATGAAGTCATCCATGACAGCCCGTGATGAATTGCCGTCGCTATACTGTATATTTTAATAGCCTCTCACTAATTTAAATTGAGCACCCAAGTAAATTATAATTCCGTCACTTGAGTGCTTGTATTTAGCTTGACAACTCATCCTTGTTTGTCCTGGAGGTGTAGCAGAGAAAATGGCTCAGGTATTTTTGGTGGGGTTTAACCCTTTCTCCGGCTTGAGGAGTCCCTTTTCTGTGGCCTGGCGGTTATTTAAGAGAGAGGATGGCGTCGGGCCATTTTAAATTTAAATTAAATTTAAATATTTGCAGACAGGGCCCTTTTTTCCCCTAACCCTGGTTCTGTTCTCTCTGATTCACTTGTACATCATTAAAAGAATAAACTGAAATAAGGATTTGAATCCTAATGCAAATTCATAGGAGCCATTACCTCTTTCTCCAGTGAGAGTAATTAAAATCAAATTTATTTATTTCTATTTCCTATTTCTTAACCAACCTTCAGGTTGTCTGCTGGGTGCCCGGTCATCCAGAGCCTGCCAGTCCAAATACTCCCAACAGAATAATCCCAAACAGACATATTTTTTTTAGCAAGCCCTGGGAAACGTTGAAGAATTTGCTTCCTTTCTAAAGGCAAGCGTCACCCACATCATCTGAGACCCACAGTTTGAATTTCTGCTCTTTTTTTTTTCAACTGCCTCCTACAGGTAGTCCTTGACTTACGACTGCAATGGAGCCTGGGATTTCCATCGTAGTCATGACAGTCATAACATTGATGTGATTGGACCCGATGTCATAACTTCTTTCCCACTAGTCTTAAGTTTATGCGGCATCATTCAGTTAATGCCATAATCATTAAGTGAATCAATGTAGTCCTATGAGCGTTTTTTGCTATGGAATGGCATAGAGGTGATCTGGTTGCCAAGTCCCTTAGCTGTGGTCATGAGACCGTAGGGGAGAACGCAGCCACCGTTCTTCATATATTTTAGCCTCCAGTCCCCTAATCATCTTTCTTGCTCTTCTCTGCACTCTTTCTAGAATCTCCACATCTTTTTTTGATGATATGGTGACCAAAAGTATTCCTAGTGTGCTCTTACCAAAGCAATATAAAACGGTGCTAATCCTTCATGTGATCTTGATTCTATCCCTCTGTTAATGCAGCCTAGGAATGTGCTGGCTTTTTTTGGAAGCTGCCACACACTGTTGGCTGATGTTTAAACGATTGACCACTAGGACTCCAAGATCCCTGTTGCAGTTCCTGCTATTCGCCTAATCTGTACCTGTAATGCACAGTGTTAATAATCTGTGCATATTAATCTAATCTGCACCTTTTAATACAGAGACTTTTTACACACGGCCTGGGTAGCACAACGTGACGTATACAATGTAAATATATAATTTGGGGAAGCAGCCCCTCTCCCACTATTTTATACAAAATGGGGCCGTGTTCTTAAAAATCAATCTACCTGTAAAATCAATATACCAGCTTTCAGGCTTTCTTGTTTTAATTTCTTATCTTGGCTGATACTGAATTTGCCTTCTGTGATCAATATCCAGATGAAGGTTTTGCAGTGGTCAAGCTTGTCTGGAGGAAAGCTGGACTTACTAAAGTGAAAAGGAACATTGAAGTTCAAAATGGCCTTTTTTTAGAGTCCGGAGAGAGTTAAATTTTCCTTGTTCCTCTAAGGAGCAAAGTTGATACAACGGTTCCAGCAGTTTACTTTGTTTTAAGCTTTCCATCCAGGAAAAAAAAAATGTAAGTGAATATTGTTGGCAAATGACTATTGATTTGGAGAAATGTGTTAAATGTTTTCTTGGCAGCATTTCTATTACAGTTACAGCTTTTATAAATAACCCTAAAGCAAATTCTTGATAGAAATGGGTTGTGCACTTTTTCCCTCTGTTTAGACAGACATCAATACTTTAAAAATGTAGGTTCGGAAATCAGCTGGATGTAAACAAGGGATTGAAAGAAAATTTCCATTAGAAGTCGAGCTGCAGCAGAGCGTTGGCTGTGCTGAATCCGCAAAGTGTATTTGATCCTGAAATTCCCACCCAGATTCTAAGACATGTAGGCCTGGATCCTGCTTTTGTCAGGCAGGAATGACATGTGGGGGAGAGAAGTGTATACCTCAGGATTGGAGAAGGGTTCCTGAGCATATTCAGAGAAACTTCAGAGCTAAATGAACCATTGTAAATCGAAAACTACCCGTATTACTTAAATGTCTGTAATTTTAGGCCAAATAATACTTGGAAATACCTGGTAACTAGACTAGATAATTGATTAGACTTGACAATTAGACTAGATAATTGATAATTAAACTAGATAATAATACCTGGAAACACCTGGAAACTGTGAGGATGGATCCCAGTCATATTTCCTACTCTAATAATCAGAGTTTCCAGGTGTTTCCAGGTATTGTCCTAAAAATACAGACATTTAAGTAATACAGATAGTCTTCGACTTGCAACAGTTCATTTAGTGACCATTCAAAGTTACAACAGCAATGAAAAAAGTGACTTATGACCATTTTTCACACAACCCTTGCAACATCCCCATGGTCACCTGACCAACATTCAGATGCTTGGCAACCGGTTCATACTTATGACAGTTGCAGGGTCCCAGGTTCAGCGGGAAGCCAGATTCACTTAACAACCACATTACTGACTTAACAACTGCAGTGATAACAACTATAGCAAGAAATGTCATAAAACTGGGCAAAATTCACTTAACAACTGTCTCATTTGGTAGCAGAAACGTTGGGCTCGATTGTGGTCATAGATCAAGGACTAACTGTAGTTATGGAGGGGCAAAACATTTCATTCTGAATACAGAATGTTCTGGAGAAGATAGGAACTTTCTGCATGAATCTGCTGCTCCAGGGATGGCCCGAAATTTTTCTAGAAGAAAATAATGCAGTTGTGGCAGAAATATTTTATATCTCTCCCCACCACCAAAAAAACAAAACAAAACAAAACCGATCCAGAAGACAAAGAAACCCTTCAAGGACCTTAGACACAAATTAAATAAAATACATAGAATGAAATGAAATGATCAAATACTTTAGAATTATAATCAAATACAGCAATGTTTTGCAACCTTGGCAGCTTTCAGATATGTGGACTTCAACTCCCAGAATTCCCCAGCCTGTCTGGGTGTTGAAGTCCATACATCTGAATACTGCCAAGGTTGTGAAACACTGATATACAAACCTGTGAAGAAATAATAATAATAATATGTGAAGTGGAATATATCTGTTGTTAGAGGTCTGAGGGCAGCCGTGGAGAGGCTCAAAAAGTCAGGTGGGTGTCCGGAAATGCACAATTGGTTGTACCTTTTTTGCAGTACTTCTAAAAAGGTGGAAAACAAGAAATGGATGCAGAGATAGATGAAATATTTAGATTAAATACGAGTTACACCGAGGAGACATAAACTCAGTATTTTCTTTTTGAAGTGATTAAGCTGTAGAGATGTATTTCCATATTAAAAATGGGCTGCCAAGGAGTGATAAAATTTCTTTGGGGGCTGCCCACTAAGGATCCTTTGTGGTAGGATAATTAGGGTGGGTTTTGCACAAGGCAGCATCTTTTGTGTGGTATTGGAAGCTAAGCAGGTGTGAGTCTGGTCCATACATGGATGGGTGTCTGTGAGGAATACTAAACTGGGAAATCAAATCCCAGAAAGTGGCTACGGGGTTGTCTCCATGAAGTGATCAAAAATCAATCTTGACTCAGAAGAGATGTAATTTTAAGTACCAAAAGTCTAGTTACATTGCATAACTGATCTAGACTGGTCTCCTCTGAACCACTTTTGGGTGGGCTATTGCAGTGTTTTTCAACCTCTGCCGCTTAAACGTCAGTTCCCAGAATTCCCCAGCCAGCATGCATGGACTTCTGGGAGTGGAAGTCCATCCACCTTCAAGTGGCTGAGATGGAGAAACTCTGGGCTACAGCGTTGATTTCAGTAACAGTGAGGACAAAAGCTTTGCTCCCAGAAACATGAGAGATTTTTTTTTCCTCGATGGAGACTGGAGCTGATACATTAAAAAAAGAAAAAGAAATGGTACAATAATGTTTCTTGCTGAGTGCTGCCCGATTTTCTGTAGTGAAATAAATAATCTAATATTAATGTTTATTTCCAGGTGATTCCTTTAGATATTACATTAGAACTTCAGAAACAGATTATGTCCGAATTAGAAATCCTTTATAAGGTAATGCTTTTCTAGCACTTCTTTTTCAATTCTGTTTAGCATGCAGTTTTTCCTTAAAAAAAATTAACCTGCTATTTCTTCTTTTTCCAGTGCGATTCATCGTACATCATAGGATTTTATGGTGCTTTTTTTGTAGAAAACCGGATTTCCCTTTGTACTGAATTTATGGATGGTAAGTGATATACTATAACATTGACTCAGCCTTCCATCCTTCTGAGGTCGGTAAAACGAGGACCCAGATTGTTGGAGGGAATATGCTGACTGTAAACCACTTAGAGAAGGCGGTAAAGCGCTATGAAGCCGTATATAAGTCTTAACTGCTATTGCTATTGGTGAAGGACCATAGTTTAGAAACAGGAATCGGAAAAATGGAATTGGTTGAAGAATATTGGTTTACTATATCTTAGAACTGTAAATCCTACAGAGAGTGGTTTTTTTTTAATTTAAAAAAGGGTATTTTAAGAATAATGTTCACAAGGCTCAATGCATCAGGTAAGCAGGAGTTATTTCTTGGTGCTGTTTTCTTGAATAGAGTGCACAAACTTTTATTGAAAGTTTAGATATGGCAGATAATAAAAGGTGGTTTATATGTAATTTAATATTTCCCAATTGCATGCAATCTGTATTTACTGACAAAACTTCTGTTCCTTCATCTTAATAGCTTTAGTCACCCATACAGATTTTCCTTCTAAGTTGTTTCCTTGGTCCTATGCATTTCTTGTAGGTTTAAGGGATATTAGGTTTTTGTAATGACAACCTTAAAGATTTTTTTACTTGGCACTTTCACCTCAGGATAAATTTATTGAGCAAACCAGGCACAGATTCCTCACCAATTTGTTGGATCACAAAATATGCACCCAATCATCTAGGTCATGCTGGCTGGGGAATTTTGGGAGTTGAGGTTCACAAGTCTTAAAGTTGCCACGTTTGGCGACCCCTGATCGACGTGACGTTTTTAGAAAAGACCAGCTTAGCTTCAGTTGACCATACTTTGTTCTCCCTGCAGGGGGCTCCTTAGATGTCTACAGAAAAATTCCAGAACACGTCTTGGGAAGAATAGCTGTAGCTGTGAGTACCTTGGGGTATATTCCGTTCTTGAAACATTTAATAAATGTGGAATTGCTTAATCACAATCGTAAAGTTGTCAAACGAAGTGTGCAGGTGTAGTAGAAGCAATTGGCAGGAGTGGGGAAGGAAAAACAAGGAAGAGAAATGGGAGACATTAGAGACTCTTATAATACTTGGAAAGCAAACCCATTGATTACAGCATGGATTAAGGTTCCCTTGAATAAAAGCATATAATGAAAGTATTTGAATTCAGAGAGGCATACACTATAATCATCTTCAAGATGCCACAAGACGCTCTGTATTTCTGGGGTAAAGAGAGCAAAGTGCCCTGTTTCTGCCTAATTGTGCCTTTGCACACACTGCAGGGTGTTCTTAAGCAGAATGGACCAAATTGGAATGAACACACCATAATCTTTGACAGCTGAATAAAGGCCCACAGAACGAACACCCAGTTGACCGTTGAGAGAAGGGGATTACTGCACAATGGCTAAATGGGAGGGTGGCTTTGATAATTTAAGTGGTTTAAAGCATATCAGAGTTATTCTATAATGCACTACTTAATTAAATTCCTGTTTTCCACACTCATTATACATCAAGCTGACAACTGAAACCCTTTAATCTAACGCAGACAGCTATTTAGTCTACTTTCATTGTAATTCACAGCTCGGCTTCATCCTCTGCACTTCAGATGCATGCGCAAAGAGCATCTTTTCATCAGATGTGCTCCCTGTGGAACAATTCCAAATGGGTTTACTTTTGAGCCCAATGTGGTTTCTTGTGGTGTGGGAGAGCCTGGGGATTTTCATGTGGCCTGTTTCAGCGAGCTGAAAAGTGTTTCATTTTCCTGTTGGGATAATTTGCAACTTACTAAATAATTACGCCTGTAACTTTCATTTGACTAAAAAGACTTTCTACTTCTTGGGATCATGTGCACCCTGACAAGATAGAATTTCAGGTGGCGTCTTTTAAATGTTTTATAGGCAAAGAATTCCTAGTGTGCCGAAGGCTGTGCAATGAATTGGCTGGCTGTTTGATAAATTGACTTTAAAAGGATGGCTCTCACATATCTAAATCTTAAAACATGAACTCAGAATAAGGGCGGGAACTATCTGACTCTAAGATAGAAACACCAACCAGTGGCTGTGGTGACAGAGACTGAGTGGGACAATTTAATCCTCTCCCCCCACCCCAACCCCCATCTGTGGACAGCACATGGGTGGGAGAGATTTTGGGAAACAGACCTGGGTAGAGAATGCTCAGAGAACCCAGGAATATTTACTTTATTTTACTCTCAGAACCTTTCCAGTTGCCTTTGAGTCCTTCATTTGTACTTGCTTTAGAGTCTGTCGTTTGTACTTCTATAATTGTCTGGTTTGGTGCAGCTATCAAACAGGACAGGTACAGCCTCCAACAGATAGTTAGAACTGCAGAAAAAAAACAATTGCAACCAGCCTGATTTCCATTGAGAACCTGTATACTATACGGGTCAGAAAGAGGGCTGAGAAAATATGTACAAACCCCTCATATTCTGGACATAAACTGTTCCAACTCCTCCCTTTGGGATGCTGCTATAGGGCATTGCATGCCAAAACAACCAGACACAAGGACACGTTTTCTTCCTCGTTCCATTGCTCTGCTGAACACCTAATGACCCACAGTGCTGTATTATGTCTAAGAATATTTACCCACGTAGTAGGGCTGTAATACTATTATTCTTCTCATCTGTTCCACTATCTTCTCTTATTGGTATTCTTATTCTACTCTACCCTACCTTACCGTACCCTACCCTAGTCCACTCTATTCTACTCTATTCTACTCTATTACAGTCCCTACCACAAAAATATAAGTAAAAGTCTTGATAGGCCTTCTCTTTCTTTGTGTATTTGCTGCAAGTGAGGAAAGACAGCAGAGAAGGCCAGCTGCAAGCATCTCCCATCAGTATCTTGCCTAAGTTAACATGGGTTTGGGTTTTGCTTGCCGTTTTACCCATTTATTTTCCTTTCTGTTTTTTATGTAGAGACACCTTGCACTATATTTGAAGTGCTCATGTTGGTTGTAGGTTCTTTCTCCCCCTCCCCGCTCAGACGTGTCCTTAAACTGTCAAGAAAATGAGTGGTTGATGGCAGGTACAACAACTGCTTGTGTCAAGGCTCTGTCAAGTCATTGTTATCTAACCTACCATATACTGAGTTCCTCCAATAGCTTCTGGAGTATCTAGTGAAAAAGCTGGTCTCTGCAGGCATCTCTTTTTAACAACTGAATGCTTAATACTTCGTGTATATGTGCCCCAGATTGGAAAATGTCCTTTTGTTTAGTGTAAATGAATAGTGAGATATCTGATCGATGCATAAGAGGCTGTGGGAGATCTTTGGACTTGTACTTACAATGCAGTCTTAAACACAGAAATGAAAATCACTCTATTATTTAGTTAACAGGACGCTTTTTATAGCCATTCATTCAACAGATACATGCAACCTCTCAAGGAGTCTGTGCATTGCTACATGTGGAGGTTTTGTTCTCTACTTTGATAGCATTCTTACATTGGGTGTTAAAAATCCATCATTGCAAATTCATGCACTCATGTGTCACTCTTTATAATAAAAAGGAAATGCTACTTCCATGCGGTAGGTGAGCTGACATGTTGCTAAAGTATTGTGCAGTAAAAAAACAAAGGCACTTCGCTACCTCTTTGTTGTGTAGTATCACTGTTTCCCCCAATAACATCCTATGTCTCTGCCTCTCTCTAACAATGAAATATTTGCAAACCCAGTCTGAAAACATAAGACTGGTTGCTTTCCATCCTAAGGTCTATAAGTGGTGGGCATTTTCTTTAATAAGTGAAGATTTATTCTCATATCTTAGTTTGTTGCAAGATATAGGTGGTGGTTTCCAGGTTCCAAGAGGGAAGAAGAGAAATGCTTCTTTGTCTAAAGCTCAACTCCTGCTGAACTTTGTGGACAAATCAAAACAGTTTGGAAGAAGGCAAGAGAAAATATTAGGGTGGAAAAAATTCCAAAGAAGTTTTCTCTTGCCTTCTTCCGAACTGTTTTGACTTCCCAGTGTGGCCAACAGCCTAGAAAATGAAAATATGTATCTTTATGTTATGCTATGTATTAAATATATTGACCCGTTTCTTTTTTTCCTGATTTGTAGGTTGTTAAAGGTCTTACTTATTTATGGAGCTTAAAAATTTTACATAGAGGTGAGTTGCATGTTTGTTCTTTTATGTTTCAGCTGAATGTCATGATTCAGACTTAAATTTCAAGAAAGGAATATTGAGATCTTAAAATTAACCGGCTTGTGGTGGAATTTAAGGCAACAGATTCTTTGAACTCTTTAACAGCACTCTGGGATGTCATGCTGGCCCCTTGACCGCGCAAAGGTCCTCGGACAGCACTGGCTTAAGTGGCCTTGAAATGGAGATGAGCAGCGTCCCCTTAAGAGTCAGCAGTGACTCGTGGAGCAAAATCCATCTTTTATCTCCTTTACCTCCTTTATTCTTTGCCTCAGCAAAGATCTGTGAAGATCTGTTTTCACACAGACTGGATTGAGAGTCAGAACAAAGTAAGGTTTCAAGATAGTACACTTACGAGGTTTCACTTGTTCGTGTACTTGGAATATTTAACATTACCCCTTTAAATAATAATAAATGAGTTTGCTTTTGTCACCCTGCATCTTCCTGGAGCATTTATGGTACAGACCTTCTTCTCTTCATTTCCTTATATTGCTAGACTTCTTTCCGTGGGTGTGTGGGTGTGTGTGGGTGTGTGTGGGTGTGTGATTTTGTTGTGGTTCGCCGGCAGCCTGTGCAGACAGCAGCGGAATCAGACAGTGGGGAAGAACGAGGACCAGTCCGAGAGTCTGTGGAGGACTCGAACGAGGGTCCTGCATCCAATGCAGAGCTGGGGCCAGGACCATCTGGAAGTGGTGCTGACTCCGAAGCCTTCGGAGTCTGGGAGCAGCAAGGCAGAGGAGCAAGGGGAGCCTGTTCCCAGTGCGCATGTGTGCAGAGCTGCTAGAAGGCGAGAGCAGCAGAAACAAAAGGGGCGACTTGGGAGTAAGACTAGGAGATGATTGCCCCTCCCCTAAGGTATAAAGGACAGGCAAAGGTAGAGAAACCTTTGCAGGAAGCAAAGTCATTCTTTCTGTTCGGATTAATCCTTGAAGGTCTGTATGGACTTTGTACTTTGGTTGGTTTTTTACAGTTCATATGGCACTTTAGTTGTTGGCAGCAATTCAAAGGAGAGAAAGGTGGGTGCTTATCTCGAGAGACTGTTTAGGACTCATTGCATACAGGCTGGGAATGAACATAATTCCCAGCGTTGAAATAAAACAAGAGTTGTTTTAAATAAGCATGTGCTTAATTACGGTCTCGGGAAGCCTTGGTCAGAACAGATTTTTTTTGTCAGGAGAGTCTCAAGTTGTTTCCTCTTCCTGGTCAACTGGTCTAGTGCAGTGGGCCCCAACCTTTTGGGCACCAGGGACCGGTTCCGTGGAGAGAGGTTTTTTCCATGGACCGGAGAGAGTGTGGTTTTGTGTGCTGCCTGCATCCCACGGATGGAGTTTTGCTTGTTTGTGGGCGCAGTTGCTGGCATGCCATGGCCTGGTGTCGGTCCATGGACCAGGAGTTGGAGACCCTGGTCTAGTGTATGAGTGAACAGATCTTTTTTTGCTAAGGGTTGCTTTTTCCTAGGGAACCCGTACTTCTTCCATCAGCTGCTAAAACATGTCGATTTTGGCACCATGGAAGTGAAAAACATTCGGGGTAGAACATTTTGCCAAGGAAAGAGAGAGTGATCTAACTTGTGCAAGGGATTATATGTGCCTTGCACTTGAGCCATCTCTCTAGAAAAAGCAGAGTCCAGGGCTCTTGACAGCCTGGGGGAAAGGCAAAAAAAACCCCTTGTGTAGCCAGTTATAATGAGCTCTTGGTAATTTGCATTTCTCACTGGGGATTGTATCGTACAGGTTTCTCCAACTCTGATATTTGGGTACTGTGCTAGTGGGGTGTGCAAAACATTTCATTTTGAATTGTTTCAGATGCAAAACGTCCAGGAAATGCCACGGCTTTTCAGTTCAAAACACTTCCAGGCTGCTGAAGGCAGGATGTTTGCAGAGTTTCACGCTTGAAACGGTTCAGGATGAAATGCTTTGCAGGCCCCTCCTTATTATACGTACAAAATGAAGAGAGCCTGGTTTTTTTACAAAGATGATTTTGAGGAGAATACATTGTGTTTTCTAAATAAAGCAGTCGGTATGTTTTTGTAATAGATGGCTTGAATCATATTCAAATAATGGCAAGGAAAAAAACGGCCAATGCTCCATTTATTTCATTGTCTGGTAAAAATAGCTCAGGAGGAGAAGGCAAGGCGAGGTTTCTCCTTTCATAAAGCTTATTTTACTCATTTTTAGATTTATATCCCACATTTCCTCCAAGAGCTCAAAGTGGCATCTCTAATATTCACACTGTATCTGTAAATTTTTGTTCGACCTTTAAGAAATATTGATTGTGGCCTTTTTCCTGGCCTTCTTTTCTTAGATGTTGGAAAGCTGAGTTAAGTGATCATACATATTTCTTGTTACCAACCTTTTCATCTTTTGCTTTTCCCTGGATTATTCTGAAAGCTCTTTGGGTCTCCTCTTCTTTTAAAGGCTGGGAGATTTTTCCCTTCAGCCTCCAATTTTCTATGACTGATCTCCTATAACCTCTGATTCCTCTTTGTAAGCAGATTGAACTCTCCCTTTCATCCATCTCACTCAAATCATCCTTCACTGACATATTTATTAGCCTCTTAAATTTTTCAAGTTAATTGTTATACAGGTAGTCCTCGACTTAGAACAGTTCATTTAGTGAAGGTTCGAAGTTACAGTGGCAATGAAACAGTGACCTATGACACTTACAACCGTTGCAATGTCCCCATGGTCACGTGATCAAAATTCACCCATTTGGCAACTGTCTCACATTTATGACGCTTGCAGTGTCCCGGGATCAGGGGATCAACTTTTGCGACCTTCTGACAAGCGAAGTCGACGGGGGAGCCAGATTCACTTAACAACCGTGCGACTAACTGAAGAGTGCAGTGATTCACTTAACGACTGTGGCAAGGAAGGTCGTCAAATGGGGCAAAACTCACTTAACGTATGTCTCACTTAGCAGCAGAAAATTTGGGCTCCATGGTGGTCCTCAGTTGCAGAACTATCTGTATTTCACACCAAAAATTCAAGGTCTGCTCCACAATCTCACTGGATCAAATTTCAGCTGGCCGGATTCCCTTCCGTTTCCTGTTCTGTCATCGGTTGCATTCTCATGTCATCCTTCTGATCATATCCAGCTATGGCATCTCTGTTTATAGTATTTGGAGCAGGTGTTGGCAGCAATAAATAATTCTTTTTTTCAAAATTATTAACCCACTTTCCACGTAATTGTATTTACTAAATTGATTTCTCCCTGTAATTATAGGTTTCTTCATTTCTCCAGTTGATGCATTCCAATTTCCCATTAGTAGAATTACCTCCCTTCCTGATGTTGCCTCTAACGCCTCCTATAATTTGCTCTGGAATTGCTCGGGGTCTTCCTTCATTTTGAAGGGGCATAGATTTGTATAACATAGATGTTCATTGATAACCACTAATTCGGGGAAATATGTTCTTGTTGTTTATTGGATTATAGATGAACACATATTTGCTGAAACTCTTTCAGTTTCATCGCCGTTTCGTTCCTTTCTACGGACTCATGCCCTGAATAGTATATCTTGTAGTCATCTGGCTTTAAATGGCCCATTCCAGTCCATTTATTCCTAAGATATCCAACTTGGTACATTTCATTTCCACTTTGACCATTCCAAGCTCTCAAAAAGTTCATGCTTCTCAGATTCCTCATTCCAACTGGGTCAAGCGAGGATGTCTTCCTTCAGTTCAGACACCATCAATGACCAGGCGTCTTTGCAGCTTTGACTGGACCACATCATCATCTCCATGTCAGCGTTCTAACTAACCACCTCCAAACCAATAAACTCCGAGACCAGCATTTTCTCAAAAGTTCCATTTTATTAGAGTTGTCCTATTGGCACATCTGGGAAAACCCAAATCTGAAAGTTCCAGGTTTTCCCTTCCCCAAAGAAAATCAAAAATCCCTCCCCTGCACCCTGCAGTCCATCACGGGGCCCAATCAAACGTCATCCAAACTGGAGACCTTCCTCCAGTCACTCCCCTCCAGGTGCAGGGCAATATGTCCTTGACTCTCTGAGAAAAAGTTGTTGTGTCTAATCTTCTACCTCTTTATGAAATCCCCCCTCCCAAATCCCCAGGCACTGAAGGTGGCAGCCTCGAAGCTTCCAAGTAAAATATGGCTTCCAAGGCTGACAGGTCCCCCCTTCCAATTTCACAAAAGTTCTGCTTTTTTTCTCTGGTAATTAGAAGAGTGCCTTTCGATGTGCCTACATATTGCTTACATCTTATAGCCATACTTCGTCATTGTCTCCTTCTGGGTTTCTTTAGGAGATTCTTATTCTAGGTGAGTTGATGTCCTCCTGGCTTGCAGGACCTTACCTACCCTCAGCTTCCCAATGGACCACTCTTGGCTTCTGTCCTTCCTTTGGACCTTGTATCAGTCCTCCGTAGCAGGCCAAGCAAGGAAACCACGCAAGCTAACATTATTTTTATGATAACTTCATAGTAAGAGAATGTTACAAGACTGAATGTGCTTCTCTGTCATTCTGAGAGCTACAGAGGGTCAAGCCGGAGATGTTTTCTCAAATTACATTTTTGCACAGACCCATATTTCTTTTAGCTGGCCATCAGCTGGTATTTGCTATTAAATCAATGCTCTCTGGATTTATCCTGCCTTTGTTGTCTCTCTTCCCAACACAGACGTGAAGCCCTCTAATATGTTGGTGAACACAAGAGGCCAGGTCAAGTTATGTGACTTTGGAGTCAGCACCCAGGTATGTCCCTTGCATTCCTTGGTTGATCCTCTCCTCTTAATTCTGCTCTCCAAACTGGCGAGGAGACAAACCGACTCCCCTCTCAAGGGCTTCCTCTGCCGGGGACATAACCATCCCTCCTTTTTAATCTCCTGTGACTTTTCTTCATCAGAATATGATTGTTCATTGTTTAATGACAGTAAAAACTGCTGATATTGTAATTACTACTTACAAATAGCCAACTTCATTGATATGCAGCTTGGCTCTGAAAGCGCTCGGGCCAAACAAAAGGATAGGGCAGAGCGAGAGGGACGCTTGGGGAGACCGACTGGCCCATGGTAAAAATTAATATGGGGATCAACAATGGCGGTGGGCTTTAACAATGTGCAGCACAAATTTTAATTAATTTCCATTTGGGGCTTCCCCTGAGGAATCTGGCGTGAAACTGACCCTCACGCTCGCCGCGATGTTGAATTGAATTGCAGCCACCTCTCCTCCCAGCCAAACATGAGGACCAAAGAGGAGGTCACGGCTGCATTATGTGTTGTCAGAATCTGTTGTCCCTCAGCATATTTAGTGTTCATTCCAGCCTGATAATCAAGGTGGCTTTATTCACATCTTGGGCCCAGCTGACAGGAGGAGGAGGAGGAGGAGCAGGAGGAGTTTGAATGTGCTGGATTTCATACACACACACACACACACACACACACACTTTCCAATAGACGGGTCCAGCTGCTTGGTAGGATACTAAATACTCCAAGCCTCCTCCTTCAGGCTCTAGAGTAGCCTTTGTTCTCGCCCGTAAATTGAAATATGATGGATATTTTAAAAGGGCTCTCATTTGAAGGAAGCCAGGAGGGTGGGTGGGTTTTAATGCCTTGGCTGGCAAATTTGCCCACTCCCCACTTTACTTTTTCTTCTTCCTCTGATTTATACGTAGGATAATTAGTGTTAAATGAGGAATAATTACCTGCTTTATTTGTGCTTTATGTGGCCCTAACAAGTTGTTTTGTCTGACAGCTGGTGAATTCCATAGCAAAGACCTACGTCGGGACGAATGCATATATGGCAGTAAGTAAATTATATGAAGATGCTTTGGTTTAAATGAAAACATGGGGTGGGTTCCTCAGCTTTGTCTTTCTTCTTCATTCGTTTCTCTACTGTTTCTCCAATTGCCAAGGAAGGAAGATCTGATTGATACGTGGAAATAACAAGTGGCATAGAAATTTACGATTAAGATCTTGGACTTAAATTCCCCAATATCACCCACCCCCCAACTCAAGAGCAGCTTCTTTTAAGCATCCTGGTAGACCTCGATGCCATCCTATTTTTGGAGGATAAAATGAGAGGAGACACCACCCACCCACCCACCCATGGGTGAACGTTGAGAGAAAAGGGAGGAAATGGATGGAGGGACGAATGGACAGACAGACAGCTGACAAGGGATGTAATAAAAAAGGCACACAAACAGAATTTCTACACATGCACTGTGACAAAGGCAGCAACTCCCCTCACTCGCCTGTAAAATAAATAAAAAGGAACAATAGAAAGCCCAGCTCTTCTGCCTGTGTGTGTGTGTGTCTAAAAACATGGGGCCCTCAGAATGAAGCCAAGGTAGGCCAAGGTTCTTTATCCATAAAGGTCTGGGGAAGATTCTTTGCTGTAGTATGGCACTTACTAACCTGACCCTCTAACAAAATGGTCTAAGGAAACTGTTTCCGTCTCTGAAACACCATCATCGTGCTGGAAAGTGCAATAGAACAAAGCTGGCTGAGGAATTATGGGAGTTGAAGTCCACAAGTCTTAAAGTTGCCACGGTTGGAGACCCCTACTATAGAAATCATGTGCTGTAGGATGACATGAACCCAAGGACAGATGGTTCTTGCTTGCCTTCAGAAATCGACAGGTAGAAAAGGCATCACATGTAGCCTCTGTTCCATGTGGATGGCTGATTGAAGAGAGTAATCTGCGATGCCCCTCTAGCAGAGATTGTGGGGCGTAAATCGGGAATCCCCTGAGCCTGAAGTCCACGGCTAATCTAGTGAACGTTCTGGATCTGGAGGCTCAAGAGGACAGGTCTACCTTGGGGCTTAATTGATAGGCGATATGTTTTTCCACGGTGGGGCTGGTGTTGCTCGATTCTTCTCCCTGCTGAACAGATTCACCCTCTTCCTACTCTGTCACACAGGCCAATGTTTAAGATGCTTCGGGGAAAGAAAGTTATGGGCAACCGTCGTAAATATGAGTCAGTTGCCAACTGCCAGAATTTTGATCATGTGATTGTGGGAATGATTCAAGGGTTGTGTGAAAGATGAGCATAGGTCATTTTTTTCAGTGATGTAACTTTGAACAGTCATTAAATGAACTGTTGTAAATTGAGGACTACCTGTATTTATCTTATCTTATTCTGAATTCTCTCTCACTCTCTTTGCTAACTTTTAAGTGAGGGCAGTAGAAGGTATAAAGAAGTTTGAATATGTATTTGTCTTGGGCTGTCTACTTAAGTGCTCGGTCTAACTTTGGTTTCTCCAAAACAGTAAGTGTCGTCTTCAAAAGAGAAGAGATCTCAAATAATTCATTTTCTTCATCTCCTCTTCTTGTTGGCCTTAAATAGCAGTAGTAATTAAATTGCATTATTTCGTTTAATGTACAAACCTCGATTACACATCCATTTCCCAGGTGTGTCTTCAAGAAATTACTTTTTTTTCATACTGTTTATGGATGACTGTGATGCATCCATCTGCTAATTGAAAAACCAGAGGATTAAAGCTTCTTCAGTTCTCAAATGTCCTTTGTGCTTAACACAATTTGTTTCATCCAAGTTCTTATTTTGGGGAGGTGGGTTGAATCTTGAAAGAAAAACCTGTTATATCACTCAGTGAAACCAGAGAATGTATCCCATTCCAGGCTGAGGTTGAAAAATGTAGCTTGTCTGGAAACTTCATGCCAACCATAAGTTCAGAATGCTGACATGGGCCTGAATAAAATACAGACTTCAAGACTGGTTGAGAGTTCTCTTCCTTTAGAGCAGGGGTCTTCAAACTTGACAGCTTTAAGACTTGTGGACTTCAACTCCCAGAATTCCTCCTCCAGTCATGCTAGCTAAGGGATTCTGGGCGTTGAAGTCCACAAGTCTTAAACTTTGCAAGTTTGAAGAACCTTGATCTATTCTCTCTCTCTCTCTCTCTCTCATCTCTCATCTATATCCTATCTATTCTATCTCTCTCTTTTCTACCTCTCTATCTATTCTACCTCTCTATCTATTCTATCTTTCTTTCCCTCTATCCTATCTATCTCTCTATCTGTTCTACCTCTCTTTTTCTATTCCAAGGGTCTTCAAACGTGGCAAGTTTAAGACTTGTGGACTTCAACTCCCAGAATTGCTGAGCTAACATGACTGGAGGAGGAATTCTGGGAGTTGAAGTCCACAAGTCTTAAAGCTGTCAAGTTTGAAGACCCCTGGAATAGAAAAAGAGAGGTAGAACAGATAGAGAGATAGATAGGATAGAGGGAAAGAAAGATAGAATAGATAGAGAGGTAGAATAGATAGAGAGGTAGAAAAGAGAGAGATAGAATAGATAGGATATAGATGAGAGATGAGAGAGAGAGAGAGAGAGAGA